AAACGGTTCGCACAGCAAACGGCCACAATATACAACACGAACGGATGAGCAGGACGACACTGATTAGTCCGTTATCCAGCAATAGAAAATATATCGAAGCAGTAAACATTATCCCGTTCAATTCGAAACGGCTACTGAATTACGCCGAATATACACGCAAAGGTGATTTTGCATCAAAGAGATTACGTTCGAGAAGATAGTACGACACAGATCATTTATGCCGAGGAGATGCCGGCACAATTACGATAACTTTGATCTCGAAATGTAAGTGATTTTTGAAGAAATTTTTGGCGAAAAACACGGGAAAAATAATAAAAAAGTTTCCGACCAATAGATACCAAAGTAACTAACGAAAGAAAAAATAAAAAAAACTTGCACATTGCTTCCTCATAGTTGTGCAAGTAGAAACTTGTACATTGTTTCCTCATAGTTTTTAAGTGTGCAAGTGGAAAGGACTTCGCAGAAATCCTTATGGGAAATGGCTTTCGGCTAATTTTTTTAAAAATTTGATATGTGGTAGTTCTCAACACGTAGAACAAAAGTGTCCATAGCCAAGGTCCGATCACGGGTAGTTTTCGAGATACAGCACCCCAAAGTTGGACTTTTCGTACCTTATTGCAGCGTAGTGCGGGTGTAGTCGATGTCGATGTACGATGATGCTTACGATTAAGGTGGGTGTACAGGTGCTTGTGTGTGGGTGTGGGTGTGGGTGTGTGTGTGTGTGTGTGTGTGTGTGTGTGTGTGTGTGTGTGTGTGTCAGCAGAGATAAGGACCCCACGGTTCGTCACTCCCGCAGTATTTTATGACTCCAAACCCTCTCTACTGTGTGTGTGTGTGATGTGTGTGCGCGCGCGCGCACACATTATTCATTAATAATCTCAATATTCCGAGGATTATCTGGAAGTTCTCGGTCTGCGGCATCCAATGTGGTATTGAGCAATGACATGTCAGGGTATTTGATATTTCCTTGATGTCGTGCAAAACCTAAGTACCACAAGACGCTGGCAACGTGTGCACATGTACCTAGAGTACGAGCTCCAGACTGACACGTACAATAATATCCATTAATCCATTTCAAAAAAAAGAGAAATATCGGAAATGTTTTTCATTAAAAAACATGATTGCACAGTCAATTTACAAAACGATACTGTGAGCCTGCCATCTATTTATAACCGGGTCATAGGTATCACTTAGTCGGCCCTGTATATTCGGTTCTGCTCGTTTTTCCATCAGAGCGCCGTTTGCTATCCGCGGATTACGTTTGACAACTTCATTTCGACTTTGACTGTCTCTTACTGTTCGGACGTTGTGCCTCGATATGGCTGGTGACGTTTTGATTTCACCGTTTGTTTTGGAACACATAAGAATTGTAAGCTTTTAACTAATTTTTACAGTGTTAATTAATTTTATTGTTTTTGACCAGCGTGATATTGTAACGATTTTGTATAGTTTTTCTATTGTTAAATGTATTATTTTCTCTTTTGTTTAGTTTTGCGTTTGTCTTGACGTTGTCAGGACACCACGTCAACGATGCAATTTGTTATGCGGATCGGTGTAACTTAAATTAATAGCACTTGATAAGGACCGGAATTCGGTCGAAACGTCGTGCAATATTGTTTTAATTGGCCAGTTGGGTCGAAAATAAAACGACTTATTTTGAATTATTTGCTGGCGACGGAAATTGTTTTGTTTATTCAAGACATTTAATCGTAGACAAGTAGGATCTGCCCCGATCATAGCTATTTCATTAATAATTGACCGATTACAGTTCATACACAACCTTGGAATTATCATCAAGATGTAAAGGGGGATGGTCAAACTCATCACGCCTTGTAATAGCTATTTGGCGTTCATTTACGTTCTCATCACCATCCATACGTGCCAATTGACGAATATTGAACGATCTATTACATATATAACATAGCGGCCGTACTATGGCAGCCATTTTTTCACTGGAGAATGACGGTAAAGTGAACGGGAACTTTTTTTAAGCAAACTATCAACAGATTTTTCTATTGGGATAATGAATCAATCTACATTCACCAGCGGATTATATTTACCAGAAGAAGTTATTCGTACTTGAAGGGATATTACCTAAAAGTGACGTATGATACGGAGAAAGAAAAATGTTTCTTTTCTCAAGAAAAATATCTTGACTATGAGTAGAAAGGATAAACAATTGACAGTATAACAATGTATCAATACTGAAATAAAGAATCGCGGGTATATGAACTCGTAAGTATACGTTTTTAAGCCGATGTTATCGAGGCCCTAAGTCGTCTACAGACGATACCGAGTCTCGGCTTAGCCGAAAGCCATTTCCCATAAGGATTTCTGCGGGGTCCTTTGCACATTGCTTTCTTATAGTTTTTAAGTGTGCAAGTAGAAACCTGTACATTGCTTCCTCTATGAGAAAGCCTGTTTTTTTGTGCATAATTATTAGTAGATATTTATTAATTTGGCTTTTTCATAGAGGAAGCAATGTACAGGTTTCTACTTGCACACTTAAAAACTACAAGAAAGCAATGTGCAAGTTTCTACTTGCTCACTTAAACAAGTTTCTACTTGCACACTTAAAAACTATGAGAAAGCAATGTATGTACAAGTTTCCACTTGCACATTTAAAAACTATGAGGAAGCAATGTGCAAGTTTCTACTTGCACACTTTTTTTATGAATAGAGTATCATTAAAGATAGATTGGTGTTGTATTTGGCTTAATATCTCAAAATTTGCGGAAATGAGAGCAATCACTTAGACTTTTTTAAACAGAAATCGGTAATCTCTTTATTATTAGCAATTTTTATTAATTTTATTATATTTTTTAGTTCCTTCTACCCCTATTTCATATATAAATCTTTAAAATTTAATTAATCAGTTCTTGAGTTATAGAAATTTCAGTAAACTTGGCTTTTTTTTTTAACAGAAATTGGTAACTAATCAACCAAATCCAGAACTAATCTTAACGAATTATATATGAAATAGGGGTAGAAAAGACTGAAGAATATAATAGAATTAATAAAAATTGTTAATAATAAAGGAGTTATCAATTTCTGTTAAAAAAAACAGCCAATTTACTGAAATTTCTATAACTCAAGAACTGATTAATTAAATTTTAAAGAGTTATATATGAAATAGGGGTAAAAACAACTAAAAAATATAATAGAATTAAAAGTAGATCGATATCTCAAATATTCTCGATATTCTCAAATATTGAGAAAGCTATAGCGTAAAACACGCTTTTCTAAAAAATGAAAATCCCCTTCGGTCGACGGATTTTAATAAAATTGGAGAAGAACATACTTTCTATGATACTCTATTTGTGTGCAAAACTTCCACCCGGTATCTAAAAAATTGTAGAAGTAGATGCGTGTACAAAAAATCCACACACACACACACACACACACACACACACACACACACACACACAC